GGAACAGCTGGTGACACATGTAGGGGCGGTGATGATGGAGCTCCCACTGTGGTTGGGTTGGGTGAGGCACGGTGCGGTCAACGCAAGTCGACAGCGAGTGTGAGAGGCGATGGAGGAGGGAGGTTGGGGTTGGGGAGTTACGGCGGCGCGACTTGCACTGGGGAAAATGGGATGTGGGATGCCGACGGGACGCCGAAGAGAATGCGAATCTGACTCTGAACCTCAAGCTTCTTTATCCATGTCAACTGTAAAGCGTCCACTGACAAATGTTCCTGGTTATCCTGGACTCGCTACTTGATATTCACAAAAGCCGCTACATAACGCGTCATAGGACATTATTCCGCTCAGTTCACGGATTCCGGTAGTACCCTATTCAACGCTCTGCTTGACTCCGAGGTGCAGCAACATACAACAAGAGACAAACCACCATCTTAATCTCTACCGTAGCCTCTTTTCGGATCTGCATTCATGGGGGCAGCAGCGTGCGAGTATGGAAGGAAAGGAGGGCCGCAGGAGGCGGTGGTGGAGATGGGGCCGTACAAGACGGGTACGGTGCAGTGGCAACGCACGCTCAAGTCGCAGATGCAGGCGTGGCGCGACGACCCGCACTGGCACGACGAGACGCCCACCGTTAAGGTCCGCCACGCTCCCAGCGCCTCGTGGCCCCTCGCTCGCACGTCTTTCATCCCGCGAGGCTCCTTCTCAATCTTCTCTGGTGCTCCCCCTCATGTGCGCATCGTCCCCGTCTCTCCCGTCAGCTCGTGCGCCACTCACTCACTGTCTCCTCCCCCTTCTCCCCCGCGCGCGCACAGGTGTCAGCTCCCAAGGGCGCATTCTGCCAGATCGACTCGGAGGTGACGATGGCGCTGCCGCCCGACGCGGTGTACAACATCCTGTGCGACCCGTGCAACCGGCGCGTGTTCAAGAACATCCGCGCCGTCACGTACCGCCGCGTGTTGGAGGACGACGGCGACCGCCAGCTCGTGGAGGTGGAGCAGTCCGCCGTCGGAAAATTCCTCATCTTCTCCGGCTCCTGCGACGTGCGACTCTTCGTGCGACAGGATCGACTGAAACACACGGTACGTTTCTCTGCAAATCCGTGAGCTCACGCGGAGAGCTCCAGCTACTTTGTGAGAGTGGTGCATCCTCCTGATCCCTGTGCGCGTACAGTGTTCGATTCCATGCCCAGCGCATGCTAAAATCGTGTATTCCCTCTCGTCGCTCCGCAGATGTCGTTCGCGATCGCGCGGCCGGGCTTTATGCGACGCTTCGAGGGCTCGTGGCAGGTGGACCCGCTGCCCGTGCCGTGCTCGCGACACGCGCAGGCCATGGCCGCCCGGGAGCGCGAAGCTGCGCGTGGTAAGGGCAGAGACGCGAAGGGAGATGGGCGGTTCGGATGGATAGGTGGGGAGATGGACAGGGAGGGTGACGTGTTCTTCGACGCCAGTGACGTGTTGCCGGAAGAGGCAGACTCAGAGGAGTGCTGCGCGGATTGCCAGATGCGCATGGCCTCGCGCGTGCGCCTGCAGCAGGTGATTCTGCTCGCCATGCCGCCGCCGCCGCCGTTCGACATGCTGGCGCGCAACAAGACGGCGCACGAGGCGAGAGACATGCTCACGAGCTTCATGGCGGAGGCGCGGCGGCTGAGGGAGGCGCCCTTCCCCATCGCGGACGGCCACACTGCCTTCCCCGACCCCGCACCCGTGCCTGACATGGCCGCGCCCGCTGAGAAGCTGCAGATAGAGGAGTCCTTTCCACCCCCTCCGCCTCTTGTGAGACTGGATTCGCACGAGGAGGGCGAGAGCTCTGGTGAGGATGAGGAAGTAGAAGAGAAGGTGCGAGTGGGGGAGCAGGAGAAGCAGCAGGAGGTAGTTGAGAGAGCAGTGGAGGTGGGAGGAGGGCGGGGCGTGGAGCCCCACGAGCTGCACTTGAAGAGGGACAATGGCTTCCGTGCGATCAGAAGTGCTGCCTTCCTGCACAAGGAGGTGCTCAAGAGCCCACTGCCTCGCAAAGAGTGCAACTGGGTGCCTGTGAGGAGGGGAATCAAGTGTTGAGTTCCCCGAAATACTTCACACTTTGGCTTTGTGCCAAATAGGCATTGCCAAGTGGACAAAGAAACGCTGCCCTCAAGGGCTGCTTGGACTTCTGTACATAATTCTATACTGTTATTTGTGATTTCATTGTATGAAGTTGTGGACTTTGCTGTGTTTGAGGAACTGTACAATTAGACACCAGCTCGAAATTGAGACTTGCTGACTTTCCAAGAACAAGCTCTGCGATTGGCAGTCCAGCCCCTTCCTGTCAGGCCGCGTGGCGCCACGCCAGCAAGACCCCACAGGTCAGCAGCATGTCACGCAAGAACGTGCCCATTCTAGCTGAATCCGCGCGCCAGCCCCTGCCGTGCGGGAATGCCCCTCCCCAGCGTTGCATGTTGAGTTGAAATTGCAGCAAGATTGTGTTTCCAGTGGTTCCCTTGTCTTCTATCGCTATGATCGCGTAAAATAGCCATCTAGGTACGACAGAAGGCGAGCAGCTCACGTCCCCTAGCACCAGTCTCTCGAGTTGTTGTGGGCCAGGGAGTCAGAACAGCTTTCGGTTCATCGAGAGTCCCACGTGGTTGAGGCAGCAAGCACCACTCAAGGAAGGCGATCCACGCGCGTCTTTGACTTCGCAAATCTGCACTTGCTGTGTCTTGCGTTCAGAACTAACAGCACGCAGGGCAGGATACGTAACGCGCGCACCATCTCCCACGCAAGCCACAGAATTTGCGATCCGGGAGACATTTTCGGTGAGCGGCCATGGAGGCAGGGGGGACGGGGGAGGGTGGTGACGTGAAGGAAGAACCAGTTGCGGGATTGCCCGCACCCGCCGCACCAACCGAAACTCCCGCCGCAGTAACCGAAACTCCCGTCGCATCAACCGAAACTCCCGCCGCGCCAACCGAATCTCTCTCCGAACCTAGCGAAACTCTCGCCGCACCAATAGAAACTCCCGCTGAACCTAGCGAAACTCTTGCCGCACCAACAAAAACTCCCGCCGAACCTAGCGAAACTCCCGCAGAACCATGCGAAACTCTCCCCGAACCTAGCGAATTTCTCGCCGCACCAACAGCAACTCCCGCCGAACCTAGCAATATTCTCGCCGAACCTAGCGAAACTCCCGCCGCCGATGGCGGTGAAGGCACGGACGCTGTGGCAGGCGACGGTGACGTGGAAGAGAAGTTCGAAGACGCGACGAGCGAGGAGCCGGCGGCGCTGGTGATGGACGAAGAGAGCCTGGCGCGGCAGCGGGAGTGGGAGCAGGCGCACCACGCCGCGGAGGCGCAGCGACAGGCGGAGGCGCAGCAGAAGGAGGAGGAGGCGGTGGTGCAGATGGACGGGTACCGCGAGGGGCGCATCTTGTGGCGCGCGGAGCTGGAGCGGCAGATGCGCGCGTGGCGGGACGACCCCGAGTGGCGCGACGAGGCGGCGCAGCTGACGGTGTCGACGCCCAAAGGCACCTTCTGCCAGCTGGACTGCCAGGTAACCCTGGCGCTGCCGCCCGACGCGGTGTACAACACGCTGTGCGACCCGTACAACCGGCGCGTGTTCAAGAACATCAAGGCCGTGAAGCATCGCAAGGTGTTGGAGGACGACGGCGACCGGCAGCTCGTGGAGGTGGAGCAGTCCGCGGCGTGGCGCTTCCTCGTCTTCTCCGGCTCCTTCGACACGCGCCTCCTCGTCACTCAGGACCGCGCGGAACGCACGGTGCGTTGCATGCGCGAGGAGACGTGGGCGGGCGACGGGGAGAGTAGATGGAAAGCGGAGAGGAATTCCATTGTCTTTCACGTTGCCCGGGGCTCTCACGCGTCTGCTGCCGTCTCACGCGCCCTCCCACCCCTTTTCTCCCTCCTTCGCCTCCCGCCCTTCGCCTTCCCCCCATCCCCCGCGCAGATGTCGTTCAAGATCGCGCAGCCGGGGTTCATGCGGCGCTTCGAGGGCTTCTGGCGCGTGGAGCCGCTGCCTGTACCGGGATCCGCGGACATGCGCACGGTGGGGGAGGCGGAGGGGAAGGGCGGAACGGAAACAGCAGAGAAGGGCAAAAGCGCAGCGGAGGGGACAGGGAAGGCAGGAGCAGCGGAAGGGGAAGCTGGGGGGGGGGCGGAGGGCGGCGAGTTTGAGGATGCGCGGGAGGCGTTTGACAGCAGACCCGCTGGGGAGGCAGGCGCTAGTGAGGGGAGCGCAGGTGGAGAGGGCACAAATGGGGAGGGTGCAAGTGAGAGGAAACCTGGACATGGCGCGCGCATGGCGTCGCGCGTGCATCTGCAGCAGGTGGTGCAGCTGGCGCTGTCGCCCCCGCCCCCCCTGGACTACTACGTGCGCGGCATCACAGCCCAGGTGGTGCGCGACATGCTCGGCTCGGGGGCGCGGATGACGATGGGGAAGGGGATGGGAAGGCAACGCAGGAGGGCGTGGGCGGGCGCATTGCGCGCATGAGTGCTGCTTTCCTGCACCGTGAGGCGCTGGGGGGGAAGAGCGGCAAGGGGAAGGGGATGGGGTGGGGGAAGAAGAACGGTGCGAGGTAGCGAGCAGGTGCGGAGTTGTAGGGGCGAAGACATGGATTGCTTGTGGCTGCTGCATGCTGCAATCGTGGCCACTGGTGTTAGTATATGGTTAGTAGAGATGCAGATGCTGCGCTCTGTATATCTTTGTAGCTAGTCAGTTAAGATTCACTGTACGATAATTGTCACATACAGATTATGGATTACAATACCCGTACAAGCTTGGTGGGAGAATCTTCCTGAATATGAACCAGCCTAGCAGGCAGTACGGTAGTTGGTGTCAGCCAGGCTATGCTGAGGTTCTCCTGTGGTGCTTGCAAGCCATCCACCTCATGGCAGCACAGCAACACAGGCATGCATGCATGCACGGGCTGCCAGTCCCAGGGTTTCATGGCTCGCCCATCATCCATTCCACCTCCTCTCAACTCACGAGTCGCGTTACTCGCCCCCCACCCGCACCTCACGCAGCAACGAACTCCCCAAAGTCATCTGTGTCCTCCCCCGCTGCTGCTGCACTGCCAGCGCCCTCACTGCCTCCAGAGGTTGCAGGCATGACGGACTGGGGCGCGGAGGTGACAGAGGCAGGCGGGTCGTCGGATTGGAACGCCCATGCGATGGAGGGCGAGGGGGCTGCTGGGGGGAAGGAGCGCGCAGAGAAGGACGTGGAGGGAGGGGAGGAGGGCGACGCGGAAGGAGGCGAGGAGAGGCGCGCCGGGGGAGGGGGAGGGAGGATGGGGGGGGAGGCGCCTGCGGTGGTAGCAGCTGCGGTTGCATGCGGTGGGGAGGAGTCAGCAGCGGCATGGTCCCCTGAGGCTTGGCGCATGGGAGCAGAGGCGTCAGGGGCAGGGCCTGTGAGGGAGGGCGACTTGAAGGCCACGTTGCCCGGCGTGGTGGGCGACAGCGGCAGCCCTGCTGTGCTTGGCTTCGCCCGTGCCGGCTGCCATGGGGGTGGAGGGAAGGGGAAAGGGGAGGGGATGCACACACAGCAGTGCGTGTAAGCAGAGTGAGCAGCACGGGAGGGACTATCAAGCTGTCCTCCCCATTTTCTCCCTTCAATGACCTGCCATCAACCGCCCTCCAATCCCCTGCACTACCCCTCCTCCTTGCACCATGCATCCCCCACTGTACGTCCACCCTCACCCTCAACCGTCACGCCCAATCCTCCATCCCTTCTCCCCCTGTCCCCACCCTTCTCCCCATCTCTCGCGCACCGTTTTGATGTCGAGGTGCAGCTTCTGCCCCTCCTTGAGGCGGTAGTCCGCAGCGGGCCGCGACTCAAACGCCTGTCCCATGCGGCGCGCCTCCTGCTGCTTGTGCACGTACTTGACATGGTCGTACACCGCCGCCTGGAAGTCATACGCCGCCGTGCGCTCCCGGAACCCCAACCCTATGAACGCATGCCTCACCACCGGTGCCGCCGCCGCAGCGGGCTTCCCAGCCTTGCTAGAGGAAGCAGAGGAGGCAGAGGCTGCAGAGGCAGTAGAGGGAGGGGGCGGGGAGGAGTCTTCGATGCGCAGCACGAAGAAGCGGCTGCTGTCGATGACGGCCTCCAGGGGCAGCGGGTGGTTGGGCCGCACGGGCGCGTGCGCGAAGAGGTCCCCCGAGGCGGCGTCGAGCAGGCGGATGCTGCAGTGGTCGCCGCGCGACACCACGCTGATGGCGCCCTCCCACGCCCACCTGTTTATGTCCCACTCGTCCGCCCTGCACGGGGTGGCGGAGGTGGGGGGATCAATGGAGGGGAGCAGGTAAGGGACGAGGAAGGGGGGAAGGGGGGAATGGAGTGAAGGTGGGAAGCGTGGGTGGGGCGATGTGGTACTGGTGCGAGGGCGCATGCATGCAGGGGTGCGCGGGGGAGATTTGCTTGTCAAATGATTAGGCAGTAAAGGGCGGGGTGGGTTGTGAGGGGAGAGAGGGGAGTGGGAGCAAGGATGGTGAAGCGGTAAAGAGACTGGAGTGAGGGGAGCGAGAAGAGTGCGAGGAGTGGGAGTGAGGGGAGGGAGGGGAGTGAGGGAGGGTGCGCGCACCTGTACGACGCTGCTGTCTTGCGTGGGGGAATCTGGTGCCGCCTCGTGGCAATGGGGGATCAGCACCCGCGGGGAGCGCGAGAGAAGGGGACGGGAGGGCAGGGAGGGGAGACGGGACAGGGGAAAGGAGGATGAAGGTGACGTGAAGAGTCAAGGGAGCTGGCAGCGTGGAACGCGCGGCATTGTCGACGCGACTCCAAGGCCGCTGTGGCGCGGAGGGGGCAGAAATGGCTACGCACGTGTCCGCACGCTGCGCGGACTATTTCAAGATTCCTCACTAGGCGCGTCGCACAGCCCGTGCGACGTACTTGCGTTACGCCATGCGGTGGTGCCGCCTGCTCGCGACTCGCCTGAGCGCAGAGCCACCGCACGAATCATAAATGCGCGGAAGCGGGAAGGAGGTTGGGTGACGGTGCGCACCTTGTACACGTAGCACTCCTTGAGGTGGAATAGTACCACCTCCGTCTGCTCCACGTCATCCAAATCATCCACGTCAGCACCGCCGCCTGCGGGCTTCCCGTCTGTCGCATCCGCCACCGCGAGTCGCGCCATGTCTTGCTCCACTCCCGCCTCTTCCGCCGGCGATCGCGCGGTGGCACTTCCCGCGTCCGCCATCCCAGATACCTCCGACCCGAACAATCCGAGCTCACTCCGCCAGTTTTATTTCCTATCCTCCTGCACGACTAATAGCTTCGATCTTGAACAAGTGCTTCAATGGCTCGTCCGCGTGCCGAAGCGCTGTATGGAAAGTTGTATGTGTCAGTACTAGGTGGCTGGGGGAGACTGTTTGAGTGGTGTGCGTGCAAAATGCGAATCTTCCAGAAAACTGTTCCCAAGGGCTGTTGCGGGAAAACGCTGCTTCGCTAAGAGACCAGTTCGCCCCAGATGCGTTGTGTGGGGTGCATAGGATACTTGAGAACAAATAATAATTTCATCTTGTACCTTAATCATCAATATTTCTGAATGTGCTTCTATCAGGCTTCATGCTATCTACATTCTCAACGGCAGCAGATTTTCCCTCTCCCAAAATTGCCTCCTCTGTGGCTGTGCGGGTGTCTTGATGCACATCATTACTGTCAGCAGCATCTCCTGCATCACCCGTAACTGCAAGACGACCATCATCTGCATCCACGTGGACATGTGGTGGTGCCGCCTGCAGCACTGCCCACGCCCCTCCGCCCGTGCCCACTCTGCATGCCGTTACCACCATGTCAGGGAGGGCATAAGGCATGGGAGGTGCAAGGCATGGAGGGCGTAAGGCATGGGAGGTGCAAGGCATGGAGGGCGTAAGGCATGGGGAGCGCAGGGGGCAAAGCATGAGGTGGAGCAGACCATTGATGGAGCAACGCAAGCATGTGGTGGCTGACCTGAGAAAGCCGGCGAACATGCGGGCGGCAATGAGGAGAGAGAGGCCTATCCACACACCCTCCACGCCCCACTCGCTCGGCGCATACACCAGCACCGCCGCTGCTGCTGGCGCCAGCGCCATCTGCAACAAGTAAACCAACGAACGGGTCATTAGAGAGGGATTCAACGAATGTGCATTGAGCAGAGAGCATGGGTCCGGGAGCACAAGGCTGGTGATGATGGCAAGACAGCAGCGCACCATGGCGAGGGCAGCGAAGGCGAAGTCGGTGGCGCCGTAGTGCAGCCCGTCAAACACAAACGCCATGCTCGCCAGGGGCTGCATGGCCGCTGCAAACTGCAGTCAGGGAGAGGGGACACAGAGAGGAAAGCTCATGGGAAACAGTGAGTCGGGAGCAATGGCTGCTTGGTGGTGAATGGAACCAGTTTGCGGAGGGAAAAGAATGGAAATTCTCAGAGGCAAGAAGGCTATGTCTCACGGGCATGAGGGCGACAGCCTGCAGCAGCACACGGTCATCCGAGGTGAAGAGCGCTGGCAGCAGCTGCGCTGACAGTGAGAGCACCACCCCCATCACCGCCCCCATGCCCAGCCCTATCTGCCGAGCACACAGGGGAGGAGGGGATGGGGTTGCACGCATGAGAGCGGTGGATGAAGTGCCGGGAGGAGGGTGATGGTGGGTGAGAGCAATGAATGAGGTGGTAGAAGGGCGGGGCTATGAATGACAGCGATAGTGTGAGTGAAGAGGCGATGGTGTCACAAGCGAGAAAGAAGGTGCTGGCATTCGCATTGGTATTGGTGCGTGCAGCATGTGGTGCGTGCAGCATGTGGTGCCTTTCCCCCTAGCCTCTTACCTGCAGCGATCGCAGCATGATGGCTCGCACCATGGCCGTGTCGTTGCGTGCAAAGGCTGATGCCAATAGGGTCTGATACACATGGCGCCACACATGCCATCACACATGCCATCACACATGCCATCACACATGCCATCACACATAACATCACACATAACATCACACATGAGCACATAAGCACATGCATGCACACGAGGGAATGCACACAGGAAAAAATAAACTATTATGTGAGAACAAATGTGTGCACGAAATCAGTCCTCAAATTACAAAATACCCTGAAAAACCACCTGGAAAACCACCTGAGGATCCACCTGGGCGCACCTGAGCAGCGAGGGCAACGGAGTCAGAGAGGAGGGAGGCGGCGAGGCAGAGCTGCAGAGCGAGCTGGTGTGCCGCCATGGGCACCGCCCCCTGCCTCGCCGCCATGCTCGTCCCCACCGCCATCGCCCCCAACAGCGCCACCGTTCGCCCCAGTAGCAGCCCTCCTGGAGGGAGGATGCACGGGGAGAGGGCGGAGTGCAGGGTTGAGAGGGAAGACGCCTGGCAGACGGGGGAAAAGGGAGATGGGGGAGCAGATGCACGATCACATGCACATGCTGATGCTGATGCGCTGGTGCTGATGCGCTGATGCTGATGCGCTGATGCTGATGCGCTGATGCTGATGCGCTGATGCTGATGCGCTGATGCTGATGCAGATGCAGATGCGAACTCTGTTGTGAGTGGCAGGGCTCACCGGACTTGAAGAAGCGGTGGAAGGAGAGGAGGGAGAGCGAGGGCGGGATGAGGTGCACTGTGGCACTCAGTCGCAGCAGCAGCCACCCCGCCATGCCGTACTGTGCTGCCACCGTGGCCGCTGCAGCGCCGGACACGCCGAGCCCGCAGGAGAAGATGAGCAGCGGGTCCAGCAGGATGTTCACCACGTTGCCGCTCACTGCAGAGGGCAACGGGTGGGTAGTGAGGGTGAACGAGAGCGGATCCAGGGATGGCCGTTTGTTCCCCAGACGCACAGGCTGTGCGAGTCATCTCCTCTGCATTCCTCTTCCCGAACAACTGACACGCCCTTGTCACTTGGAACGCTCTTCGCACCTGAAGCACGCGTGCGGGTGAAGGGCAAAGCTCACCGGAGGCAGCGAGGGGCTCACCGGAGGCAGCGAGGGGCGTGAGCGTGTCCTTGAGGCCGCGGAAGACGCCCTGCGCCGTGAGGAACAGCACCACCGCGGGCGACCCCGCCGCCCTCACCTGCAGGTACTGCAGCGCGGGCGCATGCATGGGGGATAAGGGCCCCACGCCCATCACCCCCAGCAGCGGCGCCGCCGCCACCGCCAGCAGCAGCGCCTCTAATGCGCCGAGCACCACGGCCATGAGCAGCGCCGCTGACACCGACGGCACCACGGGCTTGGACGCGGGCGGGGGGGAGGCGGCAGAGGTAGAGGAGGCGGATGATAGTGAGGGCGAGCCGTGTAGCTGCTGCGGGTGATGTTGCACGTGGCGTTGGTGCGGTGGGTGATTGAGGAGGTGTTGGTGCGGTGGGTGATTGAGGAGGTGTTGGTCCATGGCGACGAAGGACGTGGTGATGTTGAGCAGCGGCACGTTGAGCACCTTGGACACCACGCCCACCACCGCCACCGCCACCCCCACCCCCCCCAGCTCCTCCGCGCCTGCCACGCGCCACACACGGGGGCAGGGGAGGAGGAGAGCGGCAGAGTCACGGGACCCAGAAAGGATGGGTCAGCATCTACCATGCCATGTCATGCCATACCGTCTAGAATGACAAAAGAGGAAATTATTTGTGGAAAGCATGTCCGATCCCTTATTCTTTGATTAGCTATCTTTCTGCCCCATCGCTGACTAACAACCCGTTTCATCGAAAGAACTGCCCTCACCCATCTGCTCTCACCCATCTGCCCTCACCCATCTGCCCTCACCCATCTGCCCTCACCCATCTGCCCGATGTAGAACGTATCAACGAGCGACGCGACGGGCTCGGCGGCGAGCGCCAGCAGCGCCGGCAGCGCGATCGCCGCCATCTCCACGCCCAGCGCATCCGCGGAGTAGGCGGACCTGCAGCGGGGGGGACGGGCACGCGGGCCTCAAGGGGGATTGAGGGTGGGAAGGGGAACGGGCATGAAGATTATTTCCAGTTTCCCTCACTCTCTCCCCCCCTCACAATTTCTCCAACTTCAACCTCTCTCTCCCTCTCACTCACTATCCCTCTACAGTCACACCTACTCTCTCCTCTCCCTCTCACCGTGCATCGCGCCAGAACAGTATCGCGCCCTCCAAATACGACCCGCCTCCCCTGCTGGTCTCCGCCGCACCACTCCCCACACCATCCCCCAATCCCGCGCGGGGAGCCACGGCGCCGCGATTACCGGAGCGGCAGCGAGGTACTGCCGCGGCGGTGCGAGCATAGTCTGTACCCCAACCAACTCTTCCGCCTGCCAGGCGGTCACACGACGCGCGCAGCGCTATCTTCGACTGGTTGCTGAGAACCCCCCGTCGGCACGCGAATCTGCGAGGGAGGCATGATCCTGCGCGAGTGGAACTCGCCGGGCTCCGCTGCGCTGATTCATAGCGCGCCGATTCAAGGAGCGGCGGAAGCATGGAGAGCGCCCATCCGCGCCCATGGATGCTTCCTGCATCCCTGCCAGCCCGCACCCAAGGCACGGCTTCAGCACCTGGTATCATCTGCAAGTCCGATCATACAGATCAGCAAATGCATGAAAAGGTTTCAGTAATATAACAGAAATAAATAGCAACAAGATAGATCTAAGGCATCCGTTGTCGTCCAGCCTGGTTAGGATACCTGGCTTTCACCCAGGCGACCCGGGTTCAAATCCCGGCAACGGAGCATTTTGCCGTGGTCTAGGCCTTCATAGATGATAAAGCTAGCTTGTTTTCCATAGAAGGATGGCTGTGCTACTCCCATGCCAATTTTGAAAGTATGGTAATGCCCGGGCATGGCAACGCTGCACAGCCCAACTTGTTAACTCAGCCCCTTCGATTGTATAGTTCGCTTGGCTGCTAACGAGTTGCCGGGGTCCAATTGCAGGAGCGAAGCATTTGCTCGGTAATGCAATTTGCTTCCTTGGATACCTGATTTCATTACAAATCAGCGTCTACAATCTCAATCACCCCCCGTGCATCCACCTTCCACAGCGGTTTACGAGCCACCACCAGGTGCTCTCTGCTGCTGCCCTTCTCTGGTGGGTGGGCCGTCACGTTCCAGTGTGCTGCCCTCGCAGCCCTCTGCACGCCCTCCAGCACGGCCGGCAGGTCTCTTATAATCACTGTGCCTCCTGGTCTCAAAAGCCGGTCCACCTCTATAATCACGTCATCTATATCACATCGGTCCCTGTGGAGTGGCACGGAGGGGGTTGGGGAGAATGACAAATTAGAAACCTTTCCCATGAAATGAAAGATGTGACACGCTATGTGCTTCGTGCTCCATCTCTTCCCAGCGAACAATGCCTCGCCTCCAACGGCAGCAGGCAGGGCAGCGGCACTCACGGGTGGAAGGAGGAGGAGACGCCTTGCCAATGCACGAGGTCGTATGCGCGTGGGTACGACGAGAACGCCTCACACCAGTCATGCAGCGTGCCCACGAGCCCGCGGTCAAACACGGCTGCCAGGGTGTTGAGTCTACTGCTCAGCGGCACCACGTTCATCACCCACACTCGCTCCTCCCCGTCCTCCTCCCTCCCCTGCAGCGCCGCCGCAAACGACCCCACCCCCGCATTCATGTCCAGCACGTTCCGCACCTTCCCCGGCCTGCTCTCCTCCTTGCTCCTCCCCTTCTCCTCGCTCTTCTCCCCCTTGGCCTCCCCACCGTCCCCCTCAGCGCCCTCGCGGTGCTTCCGCCGGCCCTGGTAGCCCAGCAGGTCGCCCAGGAACAGCGACTCGTAGTGCGCCAGGCGGGTGCCCCAGCGCCGGCTCTCCATGTTCATGCGCTTCTGCCGCGGCGACAGTGCTGCGAGCGCCGTGCCCTGCCGCTTGCTGTACTGCGATGTTGCTGCGTTCATGAGTGACTTCTGCTGCTCCGCCTTCAGCGCCTTGCGCATGTCGCCCTCCTCCCCCTCCTGCCCTGCCGCTGCTCTCTCAGTCCTGTCTGCCTCACTTCCCCCTCCCTCTCCTCCTCCTCCCCCTTCCCCTCCTCCCTCTCCTCCTCCTCCCCCTTCCCCTCCTCCCTCTCCTCCTCCCCCTTCCCCTCCTCCCTCTCCTCCCCCTCCCCCTCCTTCCCCGCCATGAGCAGCACCACCAGCGCCATGCACATCAGAGCTGAGCAGTCGCCGCCCACCAACACCACCAGCAGCCGCAGCGGCAGCAGCAGCAGCAGCAGCAACAGGGGCCTCAGTGCTGCTGCTCTCCCTTACCTGCTCCACAGCCTTATCCCCCCCCTCCTTCAACCCACTTTTCTCCCCCTCTTTCGCCCCGTTTTCCTCGCCCTCTTGCATCTCCCTCTCCCCATCTGCGGACCCCTCACTCTTCATCTCATTCCCTCCTTTCCCACTCCTGCGCTTCCCTCCTTTCCCCCTGCCTTTCCTCCCCGTGCCTTTCCCTCTCCTTCTCACCTTCCCCTTGTCCTTCTCTTCCCCCTTTCCCCCAGCACCCCCCTCCACCGCGTTGGGCGGCGGATCTGTGGGCGGGTGCATGAGGGGGGAGTCGTAGATGCGGGGGGAGGCGAACCACAGGCGATGCGGCCAGGGGGGGAGGCTCCACGCGGAGGGGGGAGGGCGGATGGCGCAAGGCTGCAAGGGGGAGTACCTGAAGGGGGTGGGTTGGGAAGGAGGGCCGAGGAAAAGGAGAAAGCAGATAGGAGTCGTTGAGGAAGGGGGGCTAGTAGGGTGGGCGCGGGGCGAGGGTGGAGGTGCAGCGTGCATGATCGCAGTGGGGCGGGTGGGGGGTAGGGCGGCGGCATGGCAGGCAGTGGCAGGCGGTGGCAGCAGGGGCACGCACCACACGGCGTCGGGCTGGTCGTCCGCCGCACACACTTCCGCGCCCATCTCGCCCTCCCCTCCTCCTCTCGCTTCTCCTCTCCCTCCTCCTCCCGCTTCTCCTCTCCCTCCTCCTCCCGCTTCTCCTCTCCCTCCTCCTCGCCTGTTACATCACTCCCTAACTCCTCCCTCTCCGCCCCTCCTTCCGCCCTCTCCCCACCTCCTTCCTCCCTCTCTGCCTCTTCCTCCTCTCTCTCCGCCCCTCCCTCCTTTCTCTCTGCCCCTCCCTCCTGCGAATCCTCTACCTCCTCCCTTTCACTGCCTCCCTCCTTCTCCCTCTCCCCCGTTCCGCCCCCCTCTTGTTCCGCCTCTCTATATTCCTTGGCTCCAGGACACCATCTTCTTTCCCCCCCGCTTCCCCCGCTTCCGCCCGCCACCTCAACCCCCCTGCTCTTCCGCCAGATGGCTACGTGCGGCACCACCAGCACCAGCCGCCAGCACAGCGCGCGCGCCTTATCGCGCAGCGTGCGCCACTCAGCCACCCTGCCCGGCCAGCGCACGGGCGGCCCCGCCAGCACGAAGAAGCCCCCCGCGCGCAGCACGCGGTCCACCTCGAACAGGTGCGTGCCGTCTGGAGAGAGAGGGGGGGGGGGGGGGGTTGAATGGGGGGAGGAGGGGGGGGAATGTGGGGAGGGGAAGGCGGGTGAGGGGAAGGGAATTCAGGGACCCTGCTATTCAAATGCGCAACAAACTTCTCGCGTGCGAGAGCACGAGGGCACTGGATGGGGTGCGCGGGATGCGCGAGAGGCCACGAGAGAGCGCGGGGGTGGCGGCGCACGTACTGGGGAGGCCGAAGGGGACCTGGCAGTGCGAGCAGTGCACGAGGTCGAACGCGAGCGACGGGAACGGCAGGCGCATCGTCGCCAGGATGCCCACCAGCGCGGGCAGCCCGCGCTCGAGCGCAAACTGCGCCTGCCCGCGGAACCCGTCGCGCGGGCCGAGCGACACAGTGATCATGCCCTGGCGCAGCAGCTCCACCGCGAATCCCCCCACCCCCGCGCCGATGTCGAGAGCCGTGCGCAGGCGCGACCCGAACGGAATGAAGTTGCGCAGATGCGCCACGTACCGCTCCGCGCCGTCCGCTTCGGGCATAGCTGTCAAAGCGTGCGGGAAATGCCATGTGTTGCCACGTAGCTCCATCCACAGGACGTTCCGCGGGTCCTTGAGCATCTTAGAGTGCGGTACGTTGTTCCGCCACACGCTCCATAGGCTATCCGGCCAGGGGGGCGCGCGCTGGTAGCCGGGGGGAGGGGGAATCAAGCAGCGCGGGCGGGCTGAAGGAGGCGGGCAGTGTCGCTCGCGGAAAACGTTGTCTGCGAAGGGAAAGTGGACGGCGATGTTTGGATCGTAGCACGGGATGTGGTGAGTCCAGTTGGACGGACATGGCGGGAAGTATCCGTCTTCTGTGAGCTCTCCGATCGACATCGTCCCAGCCGCCATGGCTGCTGGGTTGCTGCTACTAACCGCCGAAAGCGAGATGAATGAATCATATTGGAAGCGTAAGCGACCGTATGTGGGTGAAGAGACGAGGAAGGAAAGGATGAGGAAGCCGCTAATGCTGGAGAGGGCGACATAGAACGACAGGCGCTTGCTGCGAAGCAGCGAGATGAAAGAAAAGTCTGGTGACTTGGCTGTTCGCATTGCTAGGGCTTGCAGCGCCAGGATTAATCGCCGTAGAATCATCTGGCTGACCTCGGTCGTCGCATCGTATTCCAAGCCTCTAACTGCATCGAGTGGTGCGCCTTATTACGTGTAAATACAGACGCTACTGCGTGAGGTACAGTGTCACAGGACACGGTGCCCACTAAACGTACAGATCTTTCGACGGCGACACGGTAATCGTTATGACCATGAGAGTGGAGCAATTTTTTTAGCTGTGGTCTGGCTTGTGCGTGGGCTCATAATACACGCAGTGCAATATATTCCCCAATTCGCATCCACTTTCTCAGCCGGCTAGTTTTCTCTGGCCCATGCCACTTGTCCTCACAGACCGCCATCTTCGCAGGCGCTTCGCACGTTGCTGTCAGGCCGTGACGTGAATCACCAGCAGCTTCTGAACCAATGCCGTGCCGTGCCTCCCAAAAAATGTCGGCGGGTTCGCCGTGGAAAAATGCTATATAGATATACGCCGATAGAGGCAGCAGATGCATAAATATTTATACCGAGAATGAAAGTGTTTTCTACACAAAATGGTTGATCATCAATATCAAAACTCATCGCTAGCCGTTAGCCAATTTCATTCCTCCCACTCTCCTTAGGTTTCATCAGCACATTGCTGTTGGTACCACCAGTCCATCTGCGTGCCTCTCAGCAGTCATTCGATCCCGTTAGTTGATCCGCCTTTTTTACCTCACCTGCTTAGGCTTTTGAGAACGACTATTCCGAGCCGTCGATTAGGGACGTGGATACAGTATGGTGAGTTTTTGCTGCGGAAAAGTCGAGGTGGTAGATTTCTGATATCTAGGGTTGCTTACTTCTCGTAAATGTCGTCCTGGCAGATTCACTTCGTGCTCCTCATTAGCCGGCAAGGGAAGGTCAGGCTGGCAAAATGGTATTCCGCGTACTCTCAAAAGGAACGGACGAAGGTATGCGCATCCCGTCGCGAACCGTCTGCCTACTTGCTCTCGTGGGTGGTTTCCGAGTGAATTCGTGCGTCCCTAGAAGTTATTTGTGAAGCTAATGTATCAAGTCGATGTCCACATGCCAGATCACGCGGGAGCTGTCGGGAACGATACTCAGCAGACCTGCTAAGCTATGTAATTTCGTGGATTGGAGGGGTTACAAGGTCGTTTACAAGCGGTAAGACTCTTCGACTTCGTGAGCTCGCTTATAACTGCAAGGGAAGCTTACGCTAGCCTGATGAAGTCCGCCATAGGTTCCCTTGCAAGCGAAATTTTGCTTGTCTGCTGAAGTCTGCCAAAAGGTCCAAGTGCTTCAGCCAGCTGACGCTCGTGACGCTGGTGTGGTGTGGGTGTGCATTGCAGGTACGCGAGCCTGTACTTCTGCATGTGCGTGGACATCAACGACAACGAGCTTGAGACCCTCGAGATCATCCACCACTACGTCGAGGTGCTCGACCGCTACTTCACCAACGTAAGCGACGTCTTCTCCCGTATTTGCTCCCATGCCTCTGCTTTCTAGTGCTGCCGTTTACCAATTTACTAGCCTCTTATGGCGGCTCTCCACCTGCTGCTGTCATTCTGCAGGTCTGCGAGCTCGATCTCATCTTCAACTTTCACAAGGTGCGCCTATATTGCACTAGTGGCACTGCGACTCAGTTGTTTTGCAGTTTAGGTCAGGAGGCATTATCTTGTTGTTTTCCAACCCAACCTTCCATCCGATGTGTTTGTGCTCCTTCCAGGCATACTATATACTAGATGAAATCCTCATAGCAGGAGAGCTACAAGAGTCAAGCAAGAAGTCCGTTGCAAGAGTGATAGCGGCTCAGGTAAGCTCCACCCAGTTACGGTACCTGTATTATCTTCACTTGTTGCAACAGCCTTCTCACTGACGCTCCGGTCTGTTTCTCACTCCAGGACACGTTGGTGGAGACAGCAAAGGAGCAGGGTGGTAGTTTGTCCTCCATCATTGCTCAAGCAACACAGTAGCCATGGTTTCCATTCTGTGATTGATACAAACCACCTTCACATGATAGTTTTTTATCCTGTACAGAGTCTTTAACCAGCGATTGTGTTTGTGGAATTTACTTCTAAAAGGTGTGTTCCAAATCCACCCATAACGTGATTGTGGATCTTCCTGCAAAAGGTGTAATTAAAATCGAGTCATGATGTAATGTGACTCATGGAAACCCAAACCCATGAGTAGTGTTTGTGGCGTGTCCTGCACACCATGGTGACATGCATGCCCGAAACGCGTCACCTCGCTGCTGCACTTCATTGCTGAATGTCCGCACATTCATGTTCCTATCTCCCCCCTCGGCCACAGCATATTCTCAGCTCCAGGGCAGTCGAACTCTCCCTAGTACCCTGAGCAAGGCGCGCAGTTGGCGCTGCTGCTCGTTAGGTCGATTTTCCGTCTGTGCGACACCCTGTGTTTCTTGACGCTTTTCTGCTTGTAGAGTCGCGGGTGTGTGCGATCTTTGTGCAGCTTTGCAGTCGGTGCTCTAGATTCCTGGCAAAGTAATCGCAAACACAACGATCATGGGTAGGAGGAACAGAGGAGGAGGCAAGCGAGGGGGGGGCAGCGGCGGAGGAAGCCGGGGAGGCGGGGGCGGGCGGAATGGTGGATCGGCGGGAAGAGGTCGTGGCGGTGCTCCCCACGGCACTGCAAACGACGTCGGAGGAAGACCGAATGATCAAGGAAGATCGGACGGGCGAGGCGGTGCGAACGAGACTGGGGATGGCGGAGCCTCAGGGCGAGGCTTTCGAGGCCGCGGACGCGCCATGGGGGCCGGCCGTGGTCGTGGCCGTGGCATCGGCGCGCAGCCGTCAAATGAAAACCAGAATCCGCGGAGGAATGAGCCTCGGCAGCCGGGCGCTAGCGGCGGCGGTGCAGCGGCAAGCGGACGGGGCATTTACTCTGCGGTGAAATTCGTGTACGAGTATGAAACTGTTCGCGGGGGCGGATATGACACAGGCGACCTTGACGAGGCGAGGGGTTCGGAGCAGAGGGACGTACGGGGGAGGGGTGAGGAGGAGAAAGGAGGAGTTGGAGAGGGACGAGCAGCGCAGGGAGCACGCGGCGGTGCGGAGTGGCGTGGGAGGAAGGCGCGTGGCGTGTGGTTGAGGCTGGCGTGCGGATCCTCGCGAGCTCAAGGTCGGGGGGACGGGAAAGGTCCTACTGGTGGCGGTGGTGCTGGTGTGCATGCAGGAGCAGGCGGGCACAGAGGCCTTGGGTACGGGTCTCACAGGGCGGAGGTATCGAGTGGTGCCGGGACGAGCGAGGGCGCAGCGAGGACGTTCAGGCCGGGCGGAGTGCTGCGAGGGGACGGCGAGGGTGGGGAGCAGGAGGAGAAAAAGGAGCACGCAGGGGTTGGGGACGACGGAACGGACGGGGGGGATGCCAATGAGAGGGGGGTACAAGGGACGGAGGGGGACGAGGCGATGGTGGTGGAAGAGAAAGTGCAGGGCGGCAAAGGAGGAGGTGATGGGACGACGGCTGTATCAAGTGGCTCACAGGTAGGAGGAAGCAGCAGCGGCGCGGAGAGGGAGGTGGTGGCGCTGCAGCAGCATGTGCCCGTGGTGGGTGAGGAGGAGTGCGGGCGTGCCCTGAGTGAGGTGGGGGAGACAGCTGTGCTGGGGGCAGCAGTGGAAGCAGAGAAGGGCAGGGCGGTGACGGTGCTGCCTGTTTTCTTCGACAGGGGAGGCTCTTCCACTAGTAGCCACGCACCGGCTCAGCCGGGCTTGGATGCAAGGGGTTCTGCTGCTGCTGCTGCTGCTGCTGCTGGCCCCGTGAGCCTGTCTAAGCATGCAGATGCTGGGTCAGGTGCTGCACCAGGTGGTGCTGTAGGAGCGTGCGAGGTGCTGCCTGTGGTGGAAGAGAGGGTGGGGCTCCTACCTGTTTTGGATGACAGGCAAAAGCGCTTGCCGCTGTCCGTAGGAGCAGTGGAAGCAGCGGAAGTGACGTGTCCTGCAGACGTGGCAGTGCGGTTTGAGAGGCTCCACATGGGCGTGGAGGACATAGGGGCAGACGGGGTGGGTGAGGGGGCGGAGGGAGGGGCGGAGGGCGAGGAGAAGGAGCGGCGAGACAGCAGAGGAGTGCAACAAGGAAGAAGAGGCCAAGGGGGCTCACCAGGCCAGGGAGGCCTAGGGGGTCAAGTGGGTCAGGCGGGTCAAGGGGGTCAAGGGAGTGTAGGACAGCAGTGGGGTGAGGGAGGTTGGCAGCGAGGCAGGGGAAGGGGGCGTGGGGGCAGAGGAAGAGGCAGGGGCGGTGGAGGGAGGAGGGGCAGGGGAGACGAGCAACAAGTGGAGGTGGGGAGCGGGCAGTGGGCGTGGGGCCGGGGGCAGGGCGGAATGCTGGATGGGGGGGTGGAGGACGTGGGGTATGTGACTGTTGGCGGTGTGACTGTATCGACAGGTAGAGGTGTGGGTTGGCGTGGGGGGTATGAAGGGCAGGGGTATGGGGGTGGAGGGAGGCAGGGGCGTGGAAGGGTTGGGGGTGGGGCGAGGGGTAGGGGGAGGGGGAGGGGTGGGGAAAGAGGTGGGGGAAGGAGAGGTGGGATGGGAGGAGAGGGAGAGAGTGAGGAGGATGGTGACAGTGGGGAAGAGAGTGAGGAGGGCAGCGATAGTAGCATCGATGCTGACGTGGCACTGGACTTTATGGGTAACCTGGTGGATGATAGTGATGATGCGAGCATGGGGGAGGGCGAGGCGGACGATACGGATGAGGAAGCGGATAAGGGTGAGGAGGTGGTGGTAATGGAGGGAAGGGTGGCAGAGGAGGAAAAGGTGGAGGAGGAAAAGGTGGAGGAGAAACAAGTGGAGGAGGAACAAGTGGAGGAGGAACAAGTGGAGGTCGAGGAGGAGGCGGCAAAGGAAGAAGTGGGGGAGGAAGAGGCAGAGGAGGTATTCAATGAGGAGGAGGAGGGCGAGGAGGGCGAGGATGAGGAGGTGGAATAGGGGAACGGGGAAGAAGCAGATGCAGTGGTGGGCGAGGGCGAGAGTGAGAGCGACGGCGAGGGCGAAGAAGGCGGAGTGTGGTACGAGGAGGAGCGGCACACTGGG